CATTTCCCTGTTGTGACGCTCTCTGTTGTGACGCTCTCTGTTGTGACGCCCTCTGTTGTGACGCCTTCTGTTGTGACGCCCTCTGTTGTGACGCCCTCTGTTGTGACACCTTCTGTTGTGACGCCTTCTGTTGTGACGCTCTTTTGTGACGCCTTCTGTTGTGACGCCCTGTTGTGACGCCTTCTGACGCCCCTTGTGACTGTTGTGACGCCTCTGTTGTGACGCCTTGTTGTGACGCTCTCTTTGTGACGCCTTTGTTGACGCTTCTGTTGTGACGCCCCTGTCAGCGCCTCTGTTGTGACGCCCTCTGTTGTGACGCTCTGTTGTGACGCCTTCTGTTGTGACGCCTTCTCTTCTGTTGTGACGCCATCTGTTGTGACGCCTTCTGTTGTGACGCCTTCTATATGTGACGCCTTCTGTTGTGACGCCTTCTCGCCTTCTGTTGTGACGCCTTCTGTTGTGACGCCATCTGTTGTGACGCCTCTTGTTGTGACGCCTTCTGTTGTGACGCCTTCTTCTGTTGTGACGCCGCCCTCTGCTTGTGACGCCCTCTGTCTGTGGAGACGCCAGACGCCTTCTGTTGTGACGCCTTCTGTTGTGACGTCTCTGTTGTGACGCCTCTGTTGTGACGTCGACGCCTTCTGTTGTGACGCTTCTGTTGTGACGCCCCCTGTTGTGACGCCTTCTGTTGTGACGCCCTCTGTTGTGACGCCCTCTGTTGTGCCCTCTGTTGTGTACGTATGTGCGTGTGTGTATACAGTTTTTAACAGGTAAACAATGGCGATCTCGTGTCATTTTAGACAAGAGACAGCAGAGACGGGGAGACAGGACAGGGGAGAAAAGAGGAGGAAGGACAGAGGGAGGAAGAACAGGGAGGAAGAGACACAGGGGGGAGAGGAGGAAAAAGAGGAAAAGGGGAAAGGAGAAGAGGAGGAGAAAGTAGGTAGAGAGATAGAAGGGAGAAGAAAGGGAGTAATCGATAAAGGGAGATGAAAAGGGAGAGAAAGGAAGATGGAAGAGGTCTGAGATGAGGACAAACAGGGAGATACAAGAGAATCCCCAAGAAAAGAAGAACAAGAGGTCACTAGGGCACCCAACTCAACCCTCAACATTGTCACACACACACACACACACACACACACACACACACACACACACACACACACACACACACACACACACACACACACACACTCCATTCGTCCCTCCTTCACTCACCTGTAGATCATCAGATAATCTCACCACTGACACCTTATTAATCAGCTGGTGATGAGCAATCCCACCTGGTCTACCTTATAATAGTCAGGTATACAGTTCAGTATGTATATAGATAATGCAGGTATACAGTTCAGCATGACGGTGCAGGTATACAGTGCAGGTATACACACATGCTAACTAACAAGTTCAGGTACACGCTGTCAGCATCATCAAAAGTTAATTAATTAATTCTATTCGCATCATTAATTTGGGTGTGGTCAGTTAATGGGTGTGTTACTACGCTGTCCACCGCCGTCTTAGTGTGAGGTAACGTGGTTAACTTTACATACACAGTACTTTAACATATACACATTACACATAGCCCTACAGATTACATATACATTATTATACCCAATACACAACTACACACACATCCTCACCTACCCACCCACCACCACCCACCCACCCACTCCTACTCACCTCCCCTACCCCACCCACCTCCACCACCACCCCACCCACCCCTACCCACCCACCCACCCCCCCACCAACTACCCTGCCCACCCATACCCACTCTCTGCTGGACCTATGACCCAGCGCCATAATACCAACGTGCCTCTGACATTCATTCAATTCACAGTGGCATCTAGCCTCAACGGACCACCCAAACCCACCTAAACGAAGCCTCATCTACCTCTAAAAACTCTAACCCCAAATCAAACCCCGAACTACTCCCTAACGACCCTAAATGGTGATTAAACATCAGGTAAGTTAAAAGGTAAGGGGGGGTAATTCGAGAGGACGAGTTAGGGCTATCAGGGTTTTCACACAACGCGCTGGTCTCTTGCTTTGGGGTTATGTGAGTCAGTCTGGATAATGATTGGTTGCCAAGATCTGCACGTGGTTGTTTTGCATGCATGAATGTTATTCTCGTGTGTGTGTGTGTGTGTGTGTGTGTGTGTGGTTGTTGTTGTTGTAGCGAGAGAAAATATGAAGAGACGGGGGAGATAGAAAAGAGAGGAGAGATAGAGGAGAATAGTTTTAATGGTCAGAGAGACGGAGGAGGATGAATGTGAAGGGCGAGTGTGAATGGCGAGTGTGAAGGGCAGTGTGAATGGTGTGAGGTGGTGGGTGTATTGGAAGGGTTGAACGTAAAAAAAAAAAAAAGTATAACATTCCTGCCCAGACACTACCTGTTGTCAAGAGTCGAGACACAGAAAATCCTACAATCCGTGTTTACTTCTTTCTCTCTCTCTCTCTCTCTCTCTCTCTCTCTCTCTCTCTCTCTGTCTTTGTGTTTATTCTTTCTACTCGAGTTTAGAGAGAGAGAGAGAACTCACAGATCCTTCTAAAGGTACAGCCAAGCTACAGACTATCACCCACAGAATAACCACTTAACAGACTACTATTACAACAGACCATTACCTGAGACCATCACTACCACAGATTGCAGCCACAGACAACTTCCACAGACAACTTCCACAGACAAAAGCCACAGACTACAACTACCAGAGTCCACCATCGCCAGAAACACCAGAGGCACCAAGAGGACCCCCATGCCTTGCGGAACACCACATCACACAATCCAGAAGGCCATCTAAGGGCGGTTACCCATCGCCCCAGTCATGCTCCTTTGTGCGCCTCTGAGATTAAGCCATCAGCATTATTTCCAACCGTGACTCTCCCAAACTGAACACCGGAGAGAGAGAAAAAAAAATATTAAATTGTTTTTAGGTCAATTCTGGGAAGATGATGATGATGATGATGATGTCTGTAGTTATGATGGCGGCAAGGTAAGAACCTCTTTTGGTGGGTGATATTCAGTACGCGTTTCGGGACGAGGAGGAAAAAATTCTTGATCACCTGATGATTAGCCTTCATCCAGCTTATGTTATCTGATGATTAAATACCTTTATACTACCTCAGGGGTTAGGTTAGGTTAGGTTATCTTTGTGCCTTACGATACCCATTTTCCATCGCACGAATTTCGTTATATTGAAACAAACAACAACTTTCGAACTTAGAAATAAAAACTATTAATTCTTACTACCCATTTACAATTCAAAATTCGAGTGAGCTACAAATATTCCGAGTGTGTGTGTGTGTGTGTGTGTGTGTGTGTGTGTGTGTGTGTTTTTGTGTGTGTAACAATCACCAACCTAACCTAACCTAACCTCGATATAGATCACGCAGGACTTCCGACAATATAAGGTTTTTTTCCCAGTACCGTATTTCTGCACCCAAACTGACAGGTGAATAGGGAGAGTTAGTTTACAATATATTCTGTTGTAATGAGGGTAAGAGGGGAGACTGAGGCGTTTTTGACATACATACATACAAACATACATACATACATACATACATACATACATACATACATACAGCCCACACAACCACGTACTGATCGCTATAAGAACGGGCCCATCCCACATCTATCCTTCCTTTCTATTGTAATTAAGCTGAAATTCCTTGTGACCATTATTATTATTATTATTAGTATTACACATAAACATCTCGCATGGCAAGAGACAATGTCGCCATGTGCATAATGGAGCCAACATCTCAGCATCAGTCTTCTCTCTCTCTGCCATCTCCAGTCCCTCCCCCTAGTTTGTAATAATGTTTCAAATTCCACTCAACTGCGACTATTCAACGGATGTATGTGTCTGTGTCTGTTGATCTATTTACTATACTGAAGTAATTTGCATACGTAACAAGCGGTAATGTGTGGTAGTTCAACTGTTTGCTGTGACACCTCAATTTGCCAGAGGTCAAAGTTCACCTATGTAATTAACCACAGAAGCCGGTCAAAGTTCACCTGTGTAATTATCAACAAATCTCAGGTTAAATTTTATTACCGTAATTAATAAAAGTTACATTGGCCATGGATCTTTGTTTCAGTAACAAATTAAATACCATTGTGACGGTGTATGTATGTATGTATGTATGTATGTATGTATGTATGTATGTATGCATGTATATGTGACGGAGAGAGAGAGAGAGTCCTACATCTATCCATCCAATAATCTATCTATCTATCCATCTATCTATCTCACCCAACCACGGCAGCAGTACACAGGCATCAGACCACCCGTGGCTGGCCCCTGGATACTGCTGGGGTTGTGGGAGTTATCTAGGAGACAGGAAGAGACTATCTCCCGGCCCGGTGTAAACAGTCGCATTATCTCTCAACACTGGTGGCGATCTCCCGGTGAGAGAGAGAGAGAGAGAGAGAGAGAGAGAGAGAGAGAGAGAGAGAGAGAGAGAGAGAGAGAGAGAGAGAGAGAGAGAGATAGAGAGATAGAGGAAGAGAGATACGTTCGAATTGATAGATATATAGAGTAGAGTATACATTGTACTTGATAAACACATTGAAGAAAGCTTTAACAAGGTTAGGGGTTAGGTAGGTTAGTAGCAGGTTAGGTTAGGGTAGGTTAGGTAGGTTAGGTTAGGTTAGGTTAGGTTAGGTTAGGTTAGGTTAGGGGTTAGTTAGGTTGGGTTGTAGGTTAGGTAGGTTAGGTTAGGTTAGTTAGGTTAGGTTAGGTAGGTTAGGTAGGTTAGGTTAGGTAGGTTAGGTTAGGTTAGTTAGTTAGGTTATGTTAGGTTAGGGAGTTAATAAGTTATATAGTCATGGGTTGCCAACTATTGTTTATTTTCTCTGCTTCATGTTTATAACTCACCACCGTCCTCCGTTTTTAACTTTAAATATTTGGAAGTAAAATGTGTGTGTGTGTGTGTGTGTGTGTGTGTGTGTGTGTGTGTGTGTGTGTGTGTGTGTGTGTGTGTGTGTATCGACAATTACTATACTGTCTGGGGTGGAAGGGAACGCCAGGCGCCTATGATCGCTCATGGTGGCGATTTCATGGTGCGACCTTCACTCGTACTGTTAAAGATGCCAATGGGAACTACCATGATGGCACTAATGGTGCTGAAGGAACTACCATGATGATGATAATGGTATTGAAGGAAACTACCATGATGGCAATAATGGTGCTGAAGGAAACTACCATGATGATGTTAAGCTGAAGAGAACTACCATGATCAGGTGCTGAAGAACACCATGTATGTTAATGGTATTGATGAAACTACCATGATCGCCACAGTGCTGAAGAAACCACCATGAGACGCAGTCTAAAACTACCAAAATATCAATAACTATACCATGGTCTTAAAGTCAACTACCATGATCTCGTTAGCAGCAGCAGCAGTAATGACACAATTAAGTTTAGCTCATCAGTGCCAGTCCTAACAGTGCCAACATCAGCGACAGTGCCAGTCCTAACAGTGCCAACATCAGCAACAGTGCCAGTCCTAACAGTGCCAACATCAGCAACAGTGCCAACATCAGCAACAGTGCCAAAATTAAGTGACATCACAACACCCAAATTGTTTATCTTTCCGGGTTGTGTTTAATAAAACGTGATGAAGGTTGTGTTGCGTTAGGTTGTGTTGCGTTAGGTTGTGTTGCGTTAGGTTGCTTTGAGGGTTAGGCTAGCCGTGCTGCGTTGGAGGTTGTGTTGCATTGTTGTGTTGCGTTGTGTTGTTGTAGGAATCTGACTTTGACTGATTCTGGTCTTCTGGGAACGTGGGAGGAATGTAAAGTTTGACGCTGATGTCGTTCGTCAGTTCGTCTGTACTTGGGTATGTAGATGATGTAAACTGTGTGTGTGTGTGTGTGTGTGTGTGTGTGTGTGTGTGTGTGTGTGTGGTGTGTGTGTGTGATTAACGTGATCTAGTTCCTTTCGCCTCCCTGCTCACTTTACTCTCCCCGCTCGGCTTCCACCTCCTGCTCGCCTCACCTCCCTGCTCACTTTGCCTCCCTGCTCGCCTCACCTCCTGCTCGCCTCACTCTCCTGCTCACTCTACTCTCCTGCTCGCCTCACTCTCCCTGCTCGCCTCACTCTCCCTGCTCACTTTACTCTCCCTGCTCGCCCTCTTCCCTCTGCTCGCCTTACTCTCCCTCCTCTCCATGGTAGCTCAGGAACACCACATTTCCAGTTTGCGTATAAGTGCCCAACGCTGGGGCTTCCCCTTACTCATAGTCTGCGTACATGTGGGTATTGCGTATATGTGCATCGTGCGTATTATGTGCGTCATGCGTCTATGTGCATCGTGCGTATTATGTGCGTCATGCGTATATGTGCGACGTGCGTATTTGAGCATGGTGCGTATACAGTATGTGCGTCTTCAGAGAGAACCTAATGGACCCAGGGTTGTGTTACGCTCCCCAGAAGACGAGAGTGAACCAATGTTTATGTTCTCGCGCCTCTCACTCTACACACACACACACACACACACACACACACACACACACACAAACCATTTCTACTGCCATATATCAATGTCACTTTTTACTACAACAGCCACCACCACCACACAACACCACCACCACAACCACCACCATTTACAACAACAACAGCCACCACCACCACACAACAACAACAACCACCACCACACAACAACCATCTCCACGTTTTAACACTTCCACTTGCACAGGTTACAAAAGGGTGCTCAATAAACTAGCTTCTATATCGGACAAATCTGGAAAAAATCCAAACTGCGATGAACTTGACTCTCTTCGTCATTTTATAAAACGATTTCCGAAGTAATAAACTAATCAACTTGTATCTGTCTGTCTGTTCAAAAAGCCTGTCATTATATGTCACCGTACAATGGTGTTACTTGACAAACGGACATAATGTAACAAACCTTACAATCAACACAGGTAGCTATGACAAACACACAGGTGAGCTATGACAAACACACAGGTGAGCTCTGACAAACACACAGGTGAGCTCTGACAAACACCAGGTGAGCTCTGACAAACACACAGGTGAGCTCACAAACACACAGGTGAGCTATGACAAACACACAGGTGAGCTCTGACAAACACGCAGGTGAGCTCTGAAACACACAGGTGAGCTCTGACAAACACACAGGTGAGCTTTCAGACAAACACACAAGTGACTGACAAACACACAGGTGAGCTATGACAAACACACAGGTGAGCTATGACAAACACACAGGTGAGCTCTGACAAACACACAGTGAGCTGACAAACACAGGTGAGCTCTGACAAACACACAGGAGCTCTGACAACACACAGGTGAGCTCCTGACAAAACACACAGGTGAGCTCGACAAACACACAACAAAACACACAGGTACTCACAAACACACAGGTGAGCTCTGAAACACACAGGTGAGCTCTGACAAACACACAGGTGAGCTAGACAAACACACAGGTGAGCTCTGACAAACACACAGGTGAGCTATGACAAACACACAGGTGAGCTTCTGACAAACACACAGGTGACTGACAAACACAGGTGAGCTCTGACAAACACACAGGTGAGCTCTGACAAACACACAGGTGAGCTCTGACAAACACACAGTGAGCTCTGACAAACACAGGTGAGCTCACAAACACACAGGAGAGCTCTGGACAAACACACAGGTGAGCTCTGACAAACACACAGGTGAGCTCTGACAACACACAGGTGAGCTCTGACAAAACACACAGGTGAGCTCTGACAAACACACAGGTGAGCTCGATAAA